CAGACTCACATGTCACATCGATCAGTAGATAGTGACGCTATCAGTATAGCCACCCACAGGAGGATCTGCCATCTGAAGGGCAGCGCACCTGCCCCGACTCGGCTGAAACCTTCCGGGAGGGGACCAGCTGTCGCTGATGAGAATATTCAACCTCCATGCTGTAGCAGAGTACAGTACCCATCGCTCGTTGAATGTATCGAAGATGACAGATTCGTCGTGATAGGCGAACTGATTAGAACGTCCTCCCATTACCATGATGTGTGGGACGGCCTCAGAATGGTAGAAGAATCTGAGTGAAAGCAACTGACCACAGGGGATGAGAAGGATGTCACCAACCTGGCAATAGGGCCTTCGACAAGGTCCGCTGGTAGAACTTGCATCAGCACATCCAACTTGGCGTCCATGCCATACTCAGTCCAGGCGAGGGACTCCCAATGGTGACGAGGGACGTACTCGGAATCAGATGATGTTCTCCGAGACATGTCTGGGAATCCAAAATACTATTGAAGGCAGCCAGATACCATGCATCGTAAGAGCAGTAATGAGTGCGTAGCCAATAGACTTCGCCCCCATCGAACCTCAATGAAACGGTTGCATGTATATTGCATGTAAGATTTCATCAGTAACACCCTAGCCCGAACTCGGCACTCGTCATTTTACGAGGTAGGAATATCATGGATATATGCTATTCATCTAAACAATGACATCGCTTATTGGAATATGCAATCTCAGCTTGTTGACCCGTTGTCACCGTGCATGAGAACGTGAAGACAGCGACTGCACACAGTCAACCGTTTTTTGCACCAGGACAACGCGTGCTCCTTGGTGCTCGGATTAGTTCGTGCTTGTTCGTCTCATGTGTTGTCCATTCCCAGATGGTGATTTCAGGCTGCACTTGACGGCACTGCGATTGGGAGCTCAAATGGAAGCTGATATGACCCTAGTGGCTCGAGGGTTATGGTGGCAGCGTGTCTGGGCAAAATATATGTGATGGTCAGTGAGAGGCCTCAGTCCGATCGACAGAGAGATACGTCAATTGGAGATTGAACAACAATGGTGGCCTTTTGAGACTGGGACGAGTGTTCAGCCCGTGTTGATCCCTTTTCTCAGCTGAGTTGCGCTTGATGCTTGCTAGACACTGAGTTGGAGTTTCCCCCTCTGAGGGAGTCCCTCGGAACTCCAACCTGGTGGCCCCGGCATGGGGGAGTGTAACAAAGAATGAGAAGGTGGTAGAGAAGGAGAGGCAATCGCGAAGGCCATTCGAGAGACCTGGTGGGCTCCGCATTGGTCTACTGCTATGCATTCGGCTCTCCTAACTCAGTTTGGGAAAATATGAACTCGTATAGATGATAAGAAGAAATGTTGAAGACTTCCCGATGGTTTTGCCGCAAAACTTTTGCGCACTCTCATTTCACGACGTGTGTTCTCATAATTTACTGGGAAAACTTTGGGCTCAGGTGAGCAAATTGAAGCATACATTCCAATACTGACGATTGCAGTATCGCTGGCAGGCGCAAGATAAAGCATGATGGTGTTGCGGAGTTGGAGGATGCCATGGTGATGCTGGGGAGGAAGACTTACCAGAACAGGTAAGTATCGTCAGTATGACTGAGATCTAGGCCGATATTTCCCTCCAGGGCTCGCATGTTATCATGGGGGTGTCGACCACCGAGATGAGTGAAATTGCAGCTAATATGATCAAGTCTATGTGATCGTTGAGAGTTGAGAGGAGATTCAGTTGAGGTAGCGGTAATCGATTTTCCCCACGCTGAGCTGCCTAGCCAACAATGATTTCCGACTCGCCTCGCTTTGGGAGCCATCTACTTACTATAGTTGTCGTATACGGACAAGAGAACTGACCGAATTCCGTGGTTTTTACTTATTATTGGAGACGGCAAAGTGATTGCCCAGCATGTCTGATGTTGTTATGACTACTTACATTAATCGAGTCCTTTCGTACCTTTCGATGAGACTTTGGTTCTTCGAGTGTAGTCGCGGGGAGTGTGAATGGTGAGAGTTCCGACATTAGTATTGCGATGCGGGGTTCAAATGCGAGAGTGACCGTCGGGGAGTAACAGCGAGGACGGTCGACGTTTTTTCCCGGTGTGTTTGAATCCCGATGGTACTACTGAGTGTACTGCTGCTCCGTCCGCCATGAGAGTAGTAACTACTCTCATGGCGGATGCAGCGCC